TTTTAAAGGTCAACAATACATAAAAATAGTAATAATCAACAAACAGACTTAATGAAATTGTATAGTAGTGTGCCTGACATACTTAAAACAGGTTTTATTTTAATGATAAACGCTGACTTTTAACATTTAGCGTTTTATGTTACCTGCAATATTGTCATTTAATAATAGAGAGGCATTTACTTTACTGTAAGTATTTAACGTAGAAAAAAACATTTTGTTCAACTCCAGAACATTAAAGGTGTAGTTCAGTTCAGTTGAGGCCACACTTAAACAAAAGGCCAGATTTGCCAACTCATAATCCGCTGGCTAAAAATATAGCTTGTTTTCGCTAAACCCCTAAACACAGAAAAACAAATTAGAGGAAGCTAAAACTAACAGCTAAACGTTAGCTGGTAGGACAACTGTAACTCAGTCTGTTACATGTCTTTGTCTCCTTCCAGTTAAGGACAGGTGGACTGACACAATTGTTGATGTTTGTTTATCTGTTAGAAAACTTAAAGTTGACAAAACATAATTTAGCAGAAGTTAATAGGTTTTCAAAGTTAGTGGAAAAAAAAGCCAATCCAGTAAAACGAAAAATTTGTTGCATTATTAGCTGTTAGCTGATTATCAGCACCATGCCCACCACTGGTTCTGAGTTTCTGAAGTCGAGTTCTGTTGAAAAACTAGTCTTTGAAGAACCTACATTTGAAGAAATAAGAGTTGAATTTGTCTGGATCGATGAGCTAATGGCTAGTCCAAGTGGAGAAGAGTGAAATGCTGCCATCTTAAAATTACTTCAATCGCAAAAATATCAAAATGGTTTATGCCATTTAGCAAAAGGCTGACATCAATTTTAAATCAAAGGTATTCCTGTTTTATTTGTACCAGCTGTGCCCCAGGATCCACCAGAAGTATGACAGCCTGCGTCTAATACTGTATAACTTAAAAAACCAATAAAATAAACACTTAATGCAAGTTAAGTTTCTCTGAAATATTTGGTCTTAGTTTGAGACAATAAAAGTCCTCTTTGGTCTTGGCTCTGTTCAGACTAGTTGTTAAGAAACTACAACAGGTAAGATATTCATAACTGTCCTGGAAAAATAATTATACCTCTCTACTGATTATTAAGTTTGAATTGTCTTGACATTTTAATTTGTATCTTTTTGATAACTGCTATGGTTTGTCATTTTCTGTCCCATGATTCTGAGACGCCACTACTGTCTGACGTCCTCCTTCATGGAAAGTTACTGTCAGACTTGTCGATTCCTCATTGGCCTGTTTTGTATAACTTACTTCCTGAAACTCTGCTCGCTGCTGCGGTGTGATCAGATTTTACAGTTTGCTGCTCAGATCTGCTCACGCTGTGACCATTTTGCAATTGCAAAACTGAATAAATCAACTCGACGACCATCCTACGAAGTGCATCTTCTTTTTGTTCACGTGTTTCTGTCTTGGTAAACAAATATTTCCACAACAATAACCTTTCCACAAAATCTTGTTTCCAAAATATATCACTAACCGTGTTTCCATCCAATTACATCCAATTTTAATTCGGATTTTGAGCGAATTTTAATAATTTCGCAAAAAGGAAAAAATTAAGAAATGCGAATAAGACGGAGTTTCCATCAACTGACTTGAAGCTTATCAATTACGTCATACGCACGTGAGTAGTAAACAGGAAGTAACCATTGCTAAACTCGCAGGGTCCACACATCTCAGGATAATGGAGAGAAGTTATCAGGAACGCGTTGCTACTATCAGGAAAGTTGTAATTATTCTATTATCAACTAGTTTTGGCGATGTTACTGCTGTCTGGAGACAAAGAAAGAAATGCCATTTTTTTTCACGTTGCGGGATTACTGGGAGGGTTCTGCTGCCAGTCGCAGCTGCAGCCGACCCGAAACTGGTACCGGTACCGGGGAACAGCTGATCAGCTACGTCACAACTTATTCGGCAAAAGTGTTTCCATCTGTCCTTTTGCGCATTAAGTGTTTTTCGAAAAACCCAAAAACCACCTCAAGCGAGCGTAAAAACGTTTTAGCGAATTGAGGATTTTTTTTTTTCAAATTTTGCTCTTTCCATCTGACTTTTTTTTCGCATTTTTAATGCGACACTTCTAAATGCGCATCAAAAAGCCTTGATGGAAACACGGTCACTGAGTAATACTTCTTAAAGTTATTAAAATATTTTATAGTCTTCTTTGTTAAAATCTTAGATTTTTTCTCCGGCAGGTCAACTGTGCAGATTGCTCCATTCTTGTCAGCCTTTCCCACACATTCACAGCTGGAGGCAGACCAGCAGCACCACGCCGAGCAGCCCAGCATCACACAAACACTGTCACACTTTACACTCACACTTTGCCGGGAGGCCGTAGCCGCAGGTGATCTTGGCCTCTCCCGTCTCGCAGCCGTGGAGGGAAGCGCACTCCTTCTTGAGCAGGGGTCCCGCGGCCCGGTGGATGGCCCCGTCCACTGGAAACAGAGACAACAGGAGATTTAGGGAGTTGTCCTGCTTACTGTGAATCCCCTGAAATCTCTCTGCTTACAGCGGCTGAGATGTTGCTTCTTGGCCAGCAGACATGTTTGCTGGAGTCAGAGCTTTAGTGGTAATGGACCTGGATAATGTTAGCGTTTGTTTTGAGCGGCGGGCCGAGCTTCCCGTCGTCTGCAAGTTGCTACTTAAGCCGAAGCATCTGCCTCGCCTGCATTAGTCTGCTGAATGGATTCCAGGGGCGCTGCCTCAGTTAATTATGTGATTTAATATCCTATTAAACACTCAGCTGATTTGACTTTTTGGTCAATTGATCATTAATAATTAAATTTACATAAATCTACATAATATTCAGAGAAGCGCATCTACCTTTGAGCTGCAGCACATCTAAAGACTGACTGTGCAATGATGCAGCAAAAACTACTTTACAGATTTACCAAGTAAATTTAGCCTCTTTGCAGTCAGACTTGTCTTTGAAGAGTCATGTTCTCAACAGCTGTAATACAAAGTAGTTTATTACCATTTCAACTATAAATTAAAAACAAAACATGTTTTTTAATTAATTTTGTTTCATTTGCCTTCTCCCAAACATAAATTTTGTTGGCTCATTGTCAATTATGTCTGCTAAACTGTAAATGCTGTTCTGGTTTTTGTGACTCTTGCATGCAATGTTTTTGTAAATCAACATAATGAGGAACCTGAACAGTGTTTGGGGCTGTTTTGTGCCCTTGGCACAGGAGAAATGAAAGGAAATTGAGGGATGAAAGAAGCTGAAAATGAAGTCCTTTAACACTGAAGAAAATGGTGGCTTTTTTTCCCCCTTCACACCGGCCACTTCAGCACAAAGGAAAATGTTTTTTTCCTTTCCTAAAAAAAACATAATAAAAACTTGTTTTTTTCTTCAGTGTTTAAATAATATAGAAAGAAATAATCTTAGAATAATATTATTTTTGTGTTGAGGTGCTAAAGCACTTGGTGAAAGGGAAGCAGACATTCTAAGTGATAAAAAACCCAAGTTAACAAACAACTTTATCAGCGTTTAAACACAGTCAGAAAAAGCAACAAAGTAAATGCAAATCAAACAAAAGTTACTAAATACTTTTAGTTCAAACTGTTTAATTTTTATAAACACAAATCTTCATGTTATATAGTTTTAACTTAAAGGTTTCTGTTCTTTAAACTGAACAACTTGCATAAACAAAGAAAAAACAACTACATGAAACATGGTTTATTCTATTTTAGATAAGAGCTGCACCAACGTTAGCTTCTTCCCTCACACACAGGTAGTGTTACATGATTGCTCATTTTTACTGGTGGTTGGTGGTAAAAATGCAAAACAAACAGCGATGCTTCAAGACTAATAATAAATATATTACACCTTGCATAAGAGATGCATGAATTCACTAACTTTTCATGAACTTTGAAAACCATTAGCCAACCAGTTAGCTTCTGCTAAATTAGGTTTTGACAACTTTAAGACGCTACCAGCTCATTAACAAGCTAACATCAACAGGTTTGTGTCGGTCCCACCTTCAGTTGGAAGACATGCGACAAAGACTGAGTGACATTCATCTTAACAGTAAGCAATTAGCTGTTAGTGTTGGTTTCTGCTAATTTTCGTACTTGTTTAGCTGATTAGTTGTTTTGGGTTAGCAATGCTCAATTTTTAGTTAGTGGATAATGTTAGCTGTGCCCACTACTGCAGATTAGTCATTGTCCCTTTTGTTCTGAAATAAAAAGGTGTCCTCAGTCTTTTGACTCACTCTGTACTTCTAAAAGGGTGAAGGATTTAAATACTTTATCCTGACAAGGGCAGAGATTATTGTATTTCAAGACAGAAATGAAACAATTAACACTTTGAATAGTTTCTGAGGCCTGCTCCATATGGAAAAGCAGTTTTACCAACCCAACGTTTGTTTTTGCAACTTTTAAAAATGTCCTCCTGAACATCCACAAAATGTCATTACACAAAAACACCAAAACACTTTGATAACTATGCCATTTCAAAAGTTCAAAAACAGTTTTTGTGCGGCCCCTAAAGGTCGGGCTGAATTATTTATTTATTTATTTATTTATTTATTTATTTATTTATTTATTTTTATTGCCACATTTTTGCATCAACTACAAGCAGCTTCTGTTTTGAAGGGCACTCGGCTTTTATGTTGAAAGATCTAATGTTGGAGGCTGGTGTAAAAATGTTATAATTAGCTCAGAATAAAACACATCTGTCAGGAGTTTGTCACGGCACGGTGAGACTCGTCAGCACTTGGTGAAAATAGTAGCATAACACCCATCCATATGTCTCAGCTCAGCATGTCGGCCCCTGTTCTCATCTCTGACTGACTGTATACAGACCAGCTGTTACAGTGGTGTGAGAGCAGCTCCAGGCAGGGGTCTGATGTTATCTGAACGTTATTGTGTTAAGTTGGCATGTTTCATGCGGTGCCTAGCTGTGGTGTGCCTTGTCACGCTGCGCTGTGTCGAACTGGGCTGCTCTGTGAGCGAGGCACAAGTGCGAGGGCGTGACAGGACGAGCTCTGAACACTGGCTCCATCCTCGGGCTCCACCAAAACAAGCTCACGACGGGTGAAACACTGCACAACCCGGCTTATGTGGTTGTGTTTGGGCTCTGTGTTGTGTTTCTGAGTTTCTGTGTGTGTGATTTCTTAAGGCAAACTGCGGCTCACAAAAACTCTGAAACAAAGAAGCAGCTTAAAAAGAGAGACAAGAGAGAGATGAAAAAGCAGCAGATGTAATAAAACACTCTGGATGGAGATATGGCAACAGGCAGGAAAAATAGAGTCAGAGATTTTAAATAAGAAAAAGAAAATGAGCAGATTTTTTGTTTAATGCTTTTATTTTAACAATAGTTAGCCTGTATAGTATATACAAGTCTGAACTGGTTTTCAGTCGCTACGTCAGAGGTCTTCTACCCTGTTCGTCATGACTCACTGTCCTGCGTGTTTTAATTGTGCCCCTGTTTCAGCACACCTGATTCAAATAAATAAATAAATAAATAAATAAATTACCTACTCAGAATGTCATCAAGTTTACAAGCAGCCTGTCAATCACTCGTTCATTTCAGTCAGGTGCACAGAAGCAGGAAAACACCTGAAACAAGCAGGACAGTGGTTCACCAGGAACAGGGCTGAAGACCTCTGAGTTACAGCTTTTCAACCTGACTTCAGCTCAGCTCTCAAGTCTGACACACATACAGTATGTTGTTGGTGTGTAGCTGAATAACTACAATGAAATGGTGGTTGGCACAGTGAACCAAACAGATCAGCTAACTTATAATCCGCTAACTAAATATGTAGCTTAGCTAAAGCTAAACATGGAAAACAAATTTGCTCTACAGCTAAGATGATTTTTGTCTCCTTGGAGCTGAAGACTGGACCGACACAAACTTGTTGATGTTAGTTTGTTAGTTTTGCTGTTAGCAGACTTAAAGGTGTCAAAATCTAGAGGAAGCTAATCGGTCTGCTAATGTTTTTCAAAGTTAGCAAAAAAGCCAATCTGGTAAACAAAAACTTGTTCCGCTACTAGCTGTTGGCTGATGACAACGCCCACCACCGCAAGAATGCACTAAAGGGTACGACATATTTATAAAAGCACATTTTAAACATAAAAAATTCTCAGTTACCCCAACAACATTCCAAAAAATAGTAAAACCAGCCAAATTTTTCTCCAATAAAGACATTCTCTACTTACAATAAATTAATAATGCTTAGTTTATTGCATTCTGATGTGCTTGACATCTTTGTTTATCTTCCTTAAGAAGCATTAAAAATAAATCTGTGTCCTCTATTATTGTGGAGGAAATATAACTGCACACCATATAAGGGCATACTGACGACATGTCTGTTTATTTAAAAAAGAGATATCTCTGACAACTGATGGCATAATGGCTTCATAGTGGAATATTATAACTGCTATAGCTGCTCAGCTTCATAGGGCAACAAAAACTGTTTGGGTTGCTAATTAGGTTTGTATTATTCTGTAAAGCCATAAAACAGGACAAATTACCGAAACCTGCATGGTCACACAACCTAATATAGCATTATTTGTGCAGCTTGATGAATTGTTTCCCCTCCATCATAGCCAGAGGGCTGTTCTGGAGCCTGATTAGCCACTTTGGTGCCAAGGTGATTGGCCCACACCAAGATAATGACGGGGTTTCACTAGGTCCAAAACATCTCATATGGTTATTTTTTCCCCCCACCATTCTCTGTTATGCTTCGTGACATCCACAAGATCAAAATCATGAGAAGACTCCCTTTTCCAGGCTCCAGGCTATCTAATTTATTTTATTTTTTTCACGAAATTCAAGCAGATTTTATTTGTGGTGACAGTCAACAAAGATGGCTCCTCTTCACAGGCTGGTGCCGCTTGAAGCAGACTGTTGGAAATGTCAGAACATGCGGGGTTCATTTCTCCACGCTCTCTTGACAATGCCCTGCGGTGAAAGGCTGCACAGAAACAAGTTCATGACCATGTAAAGGAGATCCCTGACACTATCTGAATATTCTCCAGACTATCTGCATCTGGAAACCCTTCAGTTGTGGAAATGAAGAAATGATTCAAGCTGCCATCAAGGTGGGTAGAAAGACTTTAGTAAGTTGAATGGAAAATGGCAAAAGCTTTAATCACTGATAAAACTTACAATAGTGTTATTATAAAACACTACTCTTTCATAAAGGAAGGTATTAAATGGAATATCTTTACCTAGAAAAAATTGGCAAGACTATTCTTTTCTTATGCTTGGGTTTTAATTTGCATGTGCCAATAAAAAGTGATAAGTGGCACAAACTACTGTATTTATTCATGTTTAATACTAGAAATTTAACCCTAAATATCATCCATAAAGTGTGTGTGTGTGTGTGTGTGTGTGGGGGGGGGGGGGTAAGTATTATACACAGGTTATTGATGATTAGATCTTAAATTTTTTTAAGCTCAAAAAAATGATGATCGTATTATACTC